GCTTTCTTGTATGCAGATTGAAATTACCTGGCGCAAGTAAGAAGGAAACATGGAACACACAACAAGCCCGCTTAGGAGTTTATTAGAGGGGGTGTGTACAGGCCTGAGGAAGTCAGTGTGCAAAGGGGGAGAGAGGAAGATGGTGAATCCAGCCTTTAAAAGCTGCCTAGCACATGCACACAGGGGGTTGACATGGCTATGTCGTACACAGGTGATGGGGTTCACGCATGCGTGCAAGGGCTTACCTGAGTCATATATGGATGATGTAATCCACACCACACGTGGGGTGGAGCCCTTTAACATCTCTAGGGGCCATTAGGCACTTCTGCCCGAGGGCTTGTCTGCACATGCTTGACTCCTAGAACCCAGAAGTATCAGCCTTATTGAGGCTGAAATCATTACACAGGTAATATTTTCAGATTGGAGCTTTTCTTCAAGCACTTTCTTTAGAGCTAAATTTTTAGATAAATGTTGTTTAAATTAGACTTTATCATCAAATATTATATTTACTCTATCTATGATGGTTGAAAAGTTTGCTGGGTATTGTAGTCTGGGTTGATATCTGTGAGGTTTTTTAGGTTTTTTGTTTGTTTGTTTGTTTGTTTGTTTTTGGATCTGCAGCACATCTGTCTGGCTTTTAGAGTCTCCATTGAAAAGCAAGGTGTAATTCTAATAGGTTTGTCCTTACATGGTGCTTGGTCTTTTTGCCTTGAAACTTTTAATAATCTTTCCCTGTTCTGTACATTTGTAGGTTAATGGGCCTTCATTTTCTTTTCTGGTCCAATCAATTTGGTGTCCTATAAGATTCTTCCACCTTTATAGACAAGTCCTTTAGATTAGGAAATTTTCCTTTTATGATTTTGCTGAAAATATTTTCTGGTCCTCTGAGCTGGGGTTCTTCTCCTTCTATTCCTATTATTCCTATGTGTGATCTTTTCACAATATTCCAGATTTCTAGGAATTTAGGAATTTTTGTGTCAAGAGTTTTTCAAACTTACCATGCTATTTAACAATATATCCACTTCTTCTATCATACATCTTCTATCTATCATATTTAATGCCTTAGATTCTTTCTTCCATCTTTTGTATTTTGCTGGTGAAGCAGCCAGTGAAGTTCCTCTTCTAACTCATAAATTTTTCGTTTCCAGAATTTGGTTCATTTAGGTTATCCTTATTGTTTCTATTTCCATTTTCAGGTCTTGAAGAGTTTTTTCCTTCCACTGTTTGTGTTTTTCTGGATTTCTTTAGGGGAATTATTAATTTCCTCTTTAAGAAACTCAACTACCTTCAGACAACAGTGTTAAGGTCTTTCCTTTGGCTGAAACTATGTCGGATGCCCAGGGTCAACTGTAGCAGGGCTGCTGGGCTCTCGTGGAGACACATTATCCTGGCTCTTACTGATTGTGTTTTTATACTGGCACCCAGGAATCTGGTTTTGTGGTGATTATAGGTCTCGGTGCCAATTTCTGGGTTTATCTTTGTTGGGTGGGTATTTGATTTTTTTGTTTCCGGGTTTTAGGTGAGTTTGATGACTGTGTGTTGCCATAGGAAGCTTTCTGTGGACCTGTTTCCCTGTCCTGCCCAGCTGGTGTGTTCCCAGAAAATGCCTGCTGGTGTTGGAGGCTGGGATAAAGGGATGAGTTGGGAGAGGGTAGGTTGAAGGAGAAAATCTTTGTGAGTCATTGCATATGGGGTCAGGGAGGAAAGGGAGAGCACAGCAGGCATTCTGCCACAGAGCTGGTGATGAAACTGGGGCAGAGGAGTGGATCTGGAAAATCAGAAGGAGAAGGATGGATTTTCTGTCAACCTACCTGCTTCCCTGATCAGAGTAGCCTTTGGGTCAGTAAGGGGTGCCTGTTGGGGAAGATCAGGGAAATCCAAAGAGATGGGGAATGCGGGTCGGGAAGGCTGCAGCAAGGCTTGTGTTGCAGAGGTGGGGTGAGGTCTGGGGTTTGAGTCTTGGGGAACAGAGAGAGAGGTGAAGATCTGCCCTCAGCCTACCAGGAAGCCTAGCATGACTGGCCTATTGGTTAACAGAGAGAGAGAGAGAGAGAGAGAAAATTCATTTTCTTAAGTAACAACAATAAGAACAAATGACATCATCTATGAACTGCCATGAACTTGGTAAGGTCTTGGGGCTAGGGATATATTTATCTGTGAGCACTGGGGAGATGAGGTATGTCCTGGCATTGTTATCTATTTGCATTAAATATACTTTGATTTGCTCAGTTGTAAGAGAAATCAAAATTACTAACATTTATTTTTTCCAAGAGCCCATTCAGGATGGATAATCTCCCGAACTAGAGAAAGGTCAGAGTTACAGCACCCATCAGTGTCTATAGACCAGAGGGAGCTGGGAATGGACACACAACTTGTTGGGTGCCAGCTCTGCTTTTGTCTCACTTGGCCATGCTGAGGTAGTTGGCAGTCTCAGGTCAACCACTCTGAGTGACTGAGGTTTGTTCTTCACTGGAAGAATACAATCTCAAGTTAGTGTGTGGTTCAGTTGTCTGTTGTGTTTGGTTAATTTATTACATAAAGAAGCTACCTTTGGCCAAATTTAATTCAATTTAAAGAACTCTATAGGATGTAAAGATAGAAACTGTGTGCTCGGGTTTCTTATTTTTTGTAGAAAGAGAGATTCTAGAGACAATTCCTTAGTCTTTTGTTGTCCCCCTCCACCCTCATGCTAGGGATGGAGTTCAGGGTTGTGTGTTACTATATAAAGCGAGTTCTCTTCCAAAGAGCCCACACCTCCAGCCTTCCCTTGAGCATTCTAGAGATGCTCTGCTGCTGAGCATGTCTGTCTTCATCCCTTCACAGAGGGATTTAAGGCAAGTGTTCTCCTGCTGAGCCATGTCTCCTCTAGGAAATGTCTAGTCCTGAGTGCCAAGTGACTTCAGGGACCCTGGGCTCAGCCCTGCTCCTGAATTGTCCAGATGACTGTCCCAAGTTTAGAAAAACAAGGATGTGGAGAAAATGGACAGAGACAAATAAACAATAGAGAGGTAAGGATATTGAAACAAATTCCAATAAAGAGAGGCATACAGAGACACAAGGAAGCTGCAATAGGAGGCAGTATGTGGTAGGAAAAAGAGTGGAGGCTGAGGAAACAGTGGTGGAAAAAGAAGTCAGGAAGAGAGGAGGGGGAGAGAAAGGGATGGGGAGAAAGACACAACTAGAAAGAAAGGAAGAAGCTTGAGGGGCTGGGCAGTGGTGGCACACGCCTTTGATCCCAGCACTTGGGAGGCAGAGATAGGCGCATCTATGAGTTCGAGGCCAGCCTGAGCTACAAGAGCTAGTTCCAGTACAGGCTCCAATGCTACAGAGAAACCCTGTTTCAAAAAACAAACAAACAAAGAAAAAGAAGTATGAGGAAAGACACAGAAGGAACACATGACAAGGTAGCCTTATTCAGAGAAAGGGTAGGGGCTGAGATGCTGTCTAGGGAATTTAGAAAGACACAAGTAGATAGAAGACATCAAAATACACATAGGAGTGATATGTACAGACACAGGTACAGGTAGGCTGCCATTGGCAGAAAGAGAAAAGGAGAGAGAGAGAGAGAGAGAGAGAGAGAGAGAGAGAGAGAGAGAGAGAGAGAGAGAAACAGACAAAATGTTAGAGCCAAAGAGACATGAATGGTAACCCAAATCACTGGCTCTAAACAAGGGGATTTTGTGTTGATACTTAGATAAGGCATTAAAAGCTGCTCTGGTAAAACCTGAGTCTCAAAACTACTAGGAAAACCATCTTAGAGACCTCTCCATGAATTTCTAAGCTCATGCCACCTAAATTCTGGAAAGGTGAGGCCCAAAGGGATAAGGTGCTTTCCCTAAATACTCCTACACAGGCATGATTTTCCAGCAATTGAGGCCACAAGGGTTGCTGGGAAATCCCTCCTCCACCTAGAGGCCTGAGGAAGTCAGTTGCAGATTAAGAATCACTGAGTTACAGGGCAGGTGGTGGAGCCTCTGCGTGGGCTTTCAGGCTCTCTTGCTCTGTGCGGGCTTTCAGGCTCCCTTGCTCTGTGCTGCTTTATGCGCATGCGCAAGGAGACAAATCAATGAGGGCTCCTTATACCTCTGAGGATTTGTTGGGTGACATAGATCCCTTATCATGTGTCCCTGCTCATTCTCAATTATATGAACAATTGTGTTCACAAATTTGTTGAAGTTCTTTTATCTCAAGATGAAGAAGGAAAGGGTCAGAGAGAAAGAGATGGAGGAGAGTATGAGTGACAGAGGTAACAGAGAAAGGGGTAGAGACAGAGAGTTCTCTATGTATTCTATCATCTTCCTGCCGTGGTCTCCCAAGTGCTGAACTTGCACACATGTGCCTCCATGCCCTGCTCATATAGGGCCCTTGATATCATCTAGTTGTTAATCTAAGAGTCTTCGTAAACAACACCTTCACCCTCAGGGCAGCCAATGAGATGGGTACCAATCTTCCGACATGAGAAAAGAGGGAGCCTTAAAGATGTTACAATACACATGTTTACACATACACACCTCGTTCCTATTCTACTGTTTTCTTACTATTCTGGAACAAAGGACTCTGATAATAAACAAAACCTAGAAATCTGTCAGAAATTACCATGACACATCCACCAACGATTTGTCCTGCATTTTATGATTAATTTATCATATATATGTTTGCATGCATATACATGTGCACTATGGATGGTGTGTATATGTTTATGACAGAGGACAGACTGTGGGAGTTTGTTCTCTCCTTGCAACATGTGGATCTAGGGGGTGAACACATGTTCTCAGGATTGATGAAGGTTTCCTTCCATGCTAGCTAAGAAGTCTCACTGGCCCTTGCATCAATTATTTAAGGATTTGGGAAATTCTTAACATTCTCGCTTGAATTGCAGGTTGAGGGTCAAACTCATTCTTCTCCATTGCAATGGGAGAGTTGTCTGGGTTTAGGGAAGGGACAGTCTGAAGATTGCCTACTGCCCTGGGGCTCACATGGCTCATTCTCTGTGCCCACAGGAAAGCGCATTTGTCTTGGCGAAGGCATTGCCCGCAACGAATTGTTCCTTTTCTTCACCACCATCCTCCAGAACTTCTCTGTGTCCAGTCCTATGGCTCCTAAGGACATTGATATCAGGCCCAAGGAGAGTGGCTTGATCAACGTAGCTCCATCATATCAGATCCAGTTCTTGGCCCGTTGAATGGGCTGAGGTGGCCAGGTGTCCCCACTCCTGTTGAGAATGGCCCCATCTTTCTTCCTCTGTGAGACCTGCTGCAAACCAGGCCGTAGGCCACTGCTCACACCGTTCCACCTTACTGCCGCTTCTGCAAAGCTCCGAGGTGTGTTCTTCTGCCCTGAGAATAGCACTGGAGAAATCACTCAATGTCTTTCTTGTTGTGTGAACCGAGAGACTTCCAGAGGCTACATCTCATGCTGAGTCAGTTCTGTAATGATCTGTTCCATCCCTTTAAGAGACAAGCCATGCCCATTCCCTCCCCTGTCTGCCAAGGAAACTGACCTTCAGCTTCCAGCCTTTTCTGTTTCTCCCCCAAAGAGGCAGCTTTTGCCTCTCTCCATTCTCCCCACTTCTTTCCCCTGCCCCTGCCCCCTCTCGGCTCTTCTCCCTCTCCCCTTCCCTTGTGTAACCCACTAAATAAATATCCAACCTCACTCTGCATGGCGTCCCTGTCTGTCTCTCACCTGCTGCATGCCTCCCTGCCCAGGACTAGCCATCTTTGGAGACCTGCCGCATGGTCCTGTGGCGCGCCCATTTGTCTGTCTCTCCTCATGGCCTGCTGCAGCCACTCGGGCGGGGAACTGTGCCATCCCTTCCTGGGACTGGCTGCTCTTGGGACCGCTGTTAGCTGCCTGCCACCACATGGCCCACTGCAGCCTCTAGGGGACCTGCAACATTTCTGCCTCTGCAGTCACTGGGGATCCTGCAGCATTTTTACTTTTACCATTACAAGCTCCCTACTGCACCCAGCAACCACAATTTACTTGTAGAAACTTCTGGTGCTCCATCATCTAATCTAATGAATGCTGGCCATGTCAGAGGATCAGCAGGTGGAAACTGAACTTCAAGGTGTCAGCTCACCAGGAGGAAAATTCTCTGATGGGGCAATCTCATTTTAAGCAAAACTGTGAGACCACAGACTCCAGAATGTCTTTTGCTTCTGCTGTGCCTTTACATGTTTGCTGCTACCATCTCTCCCTAGTATCTGGCTTGGTGTGAGAAGATAGGGGGAGACCCCACTGCCTTTAACATAGTGTGTTTCTCTCATGAAAACAACCTGTTCTACTGGGCAATTTTATCTGTGGATTGTCAAGAAGATGATTCCTCCCTAATTGTACTATCTAATTGATACAATGTTAACTTATTAAGAATTTTGAGAAATAAAAATGAATACACAGTCAGGGCCTATGAGTTCTCCCAAGGGGCTGCTATAGATCATAGCTCAAATCAAGAAAAACAATGAGCCAGCTAGCTCAAATTCCTTAAATCTTTTTTATTTTATTGAGAATTACTTTTATTTTTTTCACTTTTTAATTTTATTATTTTTAAATAGAAAATAAACTATCTTCTTTCATTTTTCATACCATCCCCAGTTCCCACTCCCCCCTGTTTTCCCATTCCCTCCACCTACTCCCCACCCCTCCCCCATCTACTCCTCAGAGAGGCACATTGCTTTGGGGAAGGTCCAAGGCCCTCCCTACTATATTTAAGTTGAGCAAGGTATCCAGTCAAAGAGAATAGGTTCCAAAAAAGCTAGTACCAGAAGTAGGGATAAATCCTGGTGCCAATACTAGTGGCCTCTCAGTCTGCCCCAGTCATACACATTCAGAGGATCTAGTTTGGACCTATGTTGTTCCTTCTCTGTTCGGCTGTAGTTGGTGAGGTACCATTAGCTCACATAGACTGTTTCAGTGAGTGTAGCCATCATGGTCTTGACTTTGCTTATATTCTCACTCCTCTCACTGTTCAACTGGACTTTGGGAGTTCAGCTGCAGATCTCTGCCTCTATTTTCATCAGATGCTGGATGAAGGTTCTGTGGTGACATTAAAGATATTCATCAGTCTGACTACAGGGCAAGGTCAGTTTGGGCACCTTCTCCTCTATCGCTCAGGACCTTAGCTGGGATCATACTTGTGGATTCCTGGGAATTTCTCTAGTGCCAGGCTTCTTGCTAGTCTCATAATGGCTCCCTAAATCAAAATATCTCTTTTCTTGCTCTAATTTCTGTCCTTCCTCCATATTAACTATCCCATTCCCCCAAGTTCTTCTCCCCTGCTTCTCTCCTCATCTTCCCCTTCTGCCCTCCCTGCCGCCACCACCCCCATGCTCCCAATTTTGTAAGACGATCTTGTCTATTTCCCCTTTCTAGGTGGATCTGAGTATGTTTTTCTCAGGGTTCTGTTGGCACCCACAAGACTATATAATGAATGTACAGTTTAGACCACTAGGCAGATCCATGGGAAGTATATACATACGTGTCCACATGGAATAACCCATTTTTCAGAGGTGTGGGAACATTTGCCTTTTGGAAAAGTCACTGTCATAGCTGTGGAAACCTTGTGAAGCTATGATTCTTCCCTTTGAAATGGAATTCATTCCCAGAACACCTCAGCAGTGTAACCTCTGCACAGGCAATGGAGTAACTTTACTCCATTCCTTCACACCAGAAGGTCTTAGAGCGATAACATTCATTCTTTGTTCTAGCAGCCAAATTTACATAGACTCAATCCCACAGAAGTACCTGCTAACAGACCACAGAAATTTCTATAAAAGACAGTCTCTGAGAAGGAAGGCAGCATGTCTTACCTTTGCTAACAAATAAATCTTCCCCAAAGTTGGTGATCACCAAAGAGATTAGATGAGGGGAATGGGTGAATCCAGGATTCAGGGATGTTTAACATCTTTATCTAATGGTTTGGAATATCGGATACTTCCCCTTGAATGCTGGCTCTTTCCTGGGTGGTGCCACCTGTTCCAGAGCACTGCTTTGTTAGGTTCTACCTGCCCTTCTTGTGATTTTGATATGCATATTATCATTGTTATTGCCTGTGGAATTTTCCAACTATGTCTGTAAAAACTAGAAACCACATGGAGATCAGCCCTTGCTCTTACTCTTCTCCTCCTCGCTACTTCTACCTCTTCCCCTTAATTCCTTCTTTCTTCTCCTTATTCTTCTCCTTACTTTTCTTCTTATTCTTCCTCTTCTTCGTGCCCCCTTCACTTCATTATTTTTCCTTGCATGAAAAATAAAGACGATGCAGGGATAATGTACTTGAGTTAATTTTTTACCCTCAGATCCTCGCCTGCCATAGACATCTGATTCTGAGCCCTGAGGGGAGTACTAAGGCTGGAACTCAAAGCCCCCAATAGAGTTCATCTTGTTACTTAGTTTCTATAGGATCATTAACTGTAGGCTCAATATCCTTTGTTCTACAACTAGTGTCCACTTATGACCGAGTACATACCATGTTCAACTTTCTGAGTCTGGGTTACCTCACTCAGGATGGTTTATTTCTAGTTCCAATTGCAAATTTCAAGATGTCATTGTTTTTTACTACTAAGTAGTACTCCAGTGTGTAAATGTGCCACATATTTTTTATTCTTCAAGTGAGGAACATCTAGGTTGTTTCTAGTTTCTCAATAAAAGAATATCAAATGGTCAAAAGACACTTAAGGAAATGTTCAACATCCTTAGCCAACAGGGAAATGCAAATCAAAATGACTCTGAAATAACATCTTACACCAGTCAGAACGACTAATTAAAAACCGCCAATGATAGTGTATGCTGGCGAAGATGTGGTGTAAGGGAGTAATACTACTCCATTGATGCAAACTTATAAAACCACTTTGGAAATCAGTATGGCAGTTTCTTAGAAAATTGGGAATCAACCTACCTCAGGATCGAACAATACCACCTTTGGGAGTATACACAAAAGATGCTCAATCATACTACAAGGATATCTTTCAACTATGTTCATAGCAGCATTATTTATAATAACCAGAAACTGGAAACAACCTAGATGGCCCTCAGCTGAAGAATGCAATAAGAAAATGGGCACATTTGCACATTAGAGCACTACTCAGAAGAAAAAAAACAATGACATCTTAAAATTTGCATGCAAATGAATGGAACTAGAAAAATAACCCATCCAAAGTGAGGTAACCCAGACCCAAAAATTCCTTGAATCTTAATGGTGAGAAATGCAGTCACAAGTTTTGGTGTGCACCAAACTATTCCAGAAAAACAATCTAACATTCACAAGACACATAGCTGAGCTGCCAATTCATTTAGGCTAGAGTCATAAATACAAAACAGCCCAATTATTGCCAGATGACAGATGATTATTCCTTGCACCCTTTCCTGACATCCTATTGTTGATATAGGTGTGCACCCTGAAGACTCAAGGTCAACTGACTGACTGTTTTTTATGTATATAAGTGTTGGGTCCTGGTATTGCACAAATAACAGTGAGTAGAACACCAAACTCTGGAAACAGAAGCAACTTTTGTTCAAGGGCACTGCTGAGGAAGGAAATTCTGACTAGTCGGGATTACAGAGAGTAATTTGATTCTGTAGCCCCCAAAAAGGGAATTGCAGCTTTCTTTTTATGGTCCGAGGTCACACATAGGACAGAAAGTACACTCTCAGATTTAAATCATCATAGTGTCACAGTATCCTAGAAGTGCAGACTGGAGCTGAAGCTAACAAATTTATGGTATCTGCAATGTTGTCTTTACTTGAACTAGTAAATGTATAGCACTCCAGGTATCTCTGAGATCCAAAGAGGGATTTACAACTTCTGGTAACAGGGTATTAGTTCAATATGTTTACATAGTTGTGGGTTCGTCTGAATTGCCTTTCCCCTGCCTAGGAGAAATGAAATGAAATCCCTTTGTGATTCCTACATTGCCTGAAAACTTTGTTGGGGTGTGGAAGTGGTGTAGAGAAAGAGAAAAAAAAATAACATGAGAAGAGAATGAAAACGCAAACCATCAGGACAGTGAGTGTCTTTGAAACCCTCACAGGATGCCAGCAGCCTGGGTTTTAGTTGATGCCTGATACAATCAAGTTAACACTCAAGTGCAACCACCACAGTGCCCAGTCCCCTGACCTCCCGGCTACTCTTACATGTGACCTCTTGATTGTCTGGTAACTAAGGTTCTCCTCAGAATGGTTTCTTACTGTCAACTCCATCACATTCATGCCAGGCTTGTGAAGGGACAACCTGTTGTCTTGTTCCCTGCTCCATTGTGAGAACCTGGAAAAGTAGATGGCTGATGCCAGGTGTTTAATACAGTGGAACAGTAACCAGTAATTAAAAAAACAACTCGATAAAGTGACACAGTGAGTAACTCCTTAAACTTGTCCCATACACAGCTGGACCTTGTCTGCCTAATCTCTGTCACACTCTTCCAACAACCAGAGTAAATCCTTTTCCCTAAAGTTTCCAGGTTGATACCAGTTCTCTAAGTCATCTGTTCTTGCTGTCTTGGCACCTTCTGACAGAATTGTCTGGGAGCCACACTTTAAGTGGTGTCCCCTGAAAATGAGCTTTTACACACTGCACTACTGTGATAAGCAGGTGCTTATGGGAAGGTCATTTATAGAACATCATCACCTAGGAAGATGTCTCTGTGCAGCCATTGGCCAATCAGCAGGCCTCTCTCAAATCACCTAGAAGACACTAAATTTCATTTGTCTCGCCAAGCTCCCTGTAGGCTAGGGAGAGTTACCAGGATTTTGCCAAGGGAGATTCCTGGCACACCCTCCTCCACCACCAGCAGAAATAGGAAAACAAACAGAGCAGTCAGCCCTTCAAGAACAACAGGGGAATGTGTAGCATGCCAAGGGAGGACCATGGTGTTCTATCTTTTCCTGAATCTTGCCAGGCTGGACCTGGGGTCTCTCCAGCTCAAGAGCTGTTTCTCTCCTGGACCATGACTTCTGCCTTTGCTGGAAAACATTCTTAAACAGATCCCACAATCTTTCTCAAATCCTTCCAAGGGGTGAGATGTAGAGGAGGTCAGTGTGAAGAGGCAGGAGGTGGAAGGAAGGAAGTGATGCTCACAGGGAGCAAACAATTGCAAGTCCATGGTTCAACAGGCATCACCAGATCAGCTTGGAAATTCTCTTATTCCAGTCATGCTGTAGTACTAGAGAAGCTTCTAGAATTCTTCTGTGGAAGATCAAAAGGAAGGTAGGTAGAGAGATAGCTTCTGGTAGACGTATTGTGTTCTCCATTGTGGAGAGTAGCATTGCATGGCCGGAATCTGTGAAACTCATAATGTCCAAAGATGGAAGGTCCTCAGAAATGCTGGGATCAGAGCACTTAGGAAAGCATATATGAGAGATGATCACGTGAAACCAAGAGCTCAGGATAGGGTTTTAACCTGATGAGACCCAGACAACCTAACACCGGGGAGTGTGATTCATTGATGG